TGCCTTTTGCATAAAGGAATGTGTATGAGTCTTTTGGGGGCCAGGAGCAGAATGTTATGCCTTGTATCTAGATACCACCCCCCCTCCAAAGTGTTGTCCTATCCTCTGGTCATAGGTAGGACTTCCTGGAGCTGGCTGGATCTACGGTGTGTGATGCTGGGATTAAGGGTACATGATTACTAAATTGGCCCACTGATTGGTTTAGCAGATTTCTGGGTGTGGATAACGGGAAAGGCCTATCCTGGTTGTGGGTGGCACAACTCAAAAGGTGAATAGCCTGGAAGGGAAGGAAGAGGCAGGTTGCTGCTTCTGCTGCTGTTCTTTGCTTGCTTTGCAGCCTTCTGCCTGCCTTGCCACGCCTCTGCTATGCCACCTTGCCCTGGAGCCAGCCTGCTATGGACTGGAACCTCTAGAAACTGTGAGCTACAATAAACCTTTCCTTCTTTATGTTTGGGAATTGAGTATTTTGTCTTAGCTATGGGAAAAGTGACCAAGACAGGGATTTTATGTGGCATGACCAGCATTTTGATTTTGAAAAGGAGAACAAAAGCAACACCTAGCAGGTCTTTCTCTCCTTAAATGGCTATGCAGCACCTTTAGAACACTTTTAAGTTTGGCGAATTTCCTAAGTTCTGAGTGCTGCTTTCCCAGCCTCCCCTAATGGCAGGCCCAGGAACTTGCTCCAGACCCTGTCATTCAGGCACTCATGCAGGTCTCCCAGTGGGAAGAGAGCAGCATGGAGTGATACCTGCTGGTGCTCAGCACATCACTCATGTGAATCCTCCGCATGATACAGTGAAGTTCCTGACTTGGGAACATTTGTAAGTCAGATTTGTTTGTGTAAGTCTGATGTAGTGAGTCTTAACACCTTTGACACTCATACACAGTATAAAGCGTTAAAAACTCAAACACACACACACACAAATATTGTAAATTATTTTTACTTTTATAGTTACCTTAAACACATGAGCTACTTCCATGATTTGTTCACAACTCAAATGTTTGTAAGTGGGGGGCTGACCGTGTATTAAAAAGCAGCTGGGATGCTGTTTTGTTCTTAGATGACATCTGGTTTAGAAATGTGTTTGGTGTCTAAGGGATTTGACCTCACCCAAAGAGAGTTCTTTGTCTTGGCTCTTGAGTGGTACCCTCTGAGCATTTGGTATTTCCAAAGTGACAGGATCCTGTTATTTCTGGTAGGCCCCTCAGCCCAATCTTGGGGACAAAGAGCTGATGACTGACTTTAGCCAGGTGTAAAATTCATGCCCACATCATGAGAGTGCCCTAAAATCTGTACCCTGAAGCTCAGGTTAGCCCCCTAGGTTGGCAGCACCCCATGCATGTCTTCATTCATAGGTGCCTAGAAGGAGATCTGCCCCCAAGGATGATAGAAACTTTAAATTCGGAACCCCACAGATTCCTTCCTATGTCTCCTCCCTTGGCTACATTTAATTTGTATCTTTTCCGTGTAATACATGGAACAGTGTTACTGGAAAGCTGGCCTTGATACAGCAAGGACTGGACCCTTACTTTTGTGGTCTTCAGTTCTTTGTGTCCTTGATAAAAGAATTCAGTCAAGATCCATAGGTTGTGCAGAAGCATAGGTAGAATTCATTAGGAAGTAGAGAAAGAGAGAGAGTTACTCCATCAAACAAGGAGGCAGGCAGTGCCAGGAGGGCATCTGCGTCAAATGTGAGTTTGGATACATTTTTATGCACCTACAACTTACTTTTGAGGCCTGGAGAACTGAAATAATGATGATGCTTATCAGTATTTCACTTAGAAGTTACTTTGGAATTGCAGAGTGTCCTCTTGTTCCTTCAGATGGGTAGCATTTCCTTAGAGGCTTTAACACATCCTCGCTAGCTTGAACCACTAGTCATATGTGCGTGACTCTCCCATCGGGTGGCTTGTACTACCCAATGGGACTGTCCCCTGCTGCCTGATGGGACCTTTATTCACAGTGGCTCCGAGCCACCCAATAGCGAGAAATATGAATTACAGCTACACCATGAGGGTGTTAATTATGTATTAAACTTACAGAAGATAAGTTCTTAATTTAAACCAGTACCAGCCCAGAGCAGGAGGGTCTTTAAAGAACAGTTCCTTCCCTGATATCACTGGACTGTAGCAGTCAGGAATGCAATGTGCCTTGTTCTGGAGTTGGCGAATCAGCTATCAGAATTACCGTGCGCCATGCTTAACCTTAGGTTCATTGTGCTCTGTGGAGTCACTTTGGATCTGAGACCTAATGGTGTATAAATATATTATACACTGAGATCTTTCTTTAGTTTCCTGGCAACACATGCTGCCGGTAAAAAGTGGGTTTCTATGTGAGGTCACAGAATGAGGTGTGGGAGATGAAAAGAAAAATAAGAGAGACATAGTTACGGGATCAGGGGGCTACAGCCTCTAGGACTGAAGCCTCTGTTACAGTTTTCTTTAGCCTTTTATTAGTATTTTCACAAAAAGCAGCAACAGGGGAAATGGGAGGAATCACTAACAGCATTAACAAGGGCAGTACAGCTTAATTATCCCAGGAACTGAACTTTGACTTAGCTAGTCATCATGTCATCTTTTCTTGTGACATATCTCAGCAAAGTATCTAATGTTGTCCCAGCGGCTTTCCATGGGGACGCAGGTCCTGCTATCGTTTCCTTTTACACTAATGCTTTTGCTAGACTTCCTCCAGAACAAACAGTCGTATGGCTTGGTCAGGCTCAAAGCCCCAGATAGCTAATACGTGGAAAGGTAAACTGTAGAATGTCCTTCTCCACAACGTGCTATTTTGGACCCCTTGTCCCTCAACTCTGCTGATGTCTAACTATCTGCCTAACATGAGCGTAATTGCTTTCAGTAATTTCTGGGAGCTTTCTAGAACATTAATGAGCATGAGTGAGTGTGGTTTTGGGAGTCTTTGTACTTAGGGGGTCGGTCAGCTGGAGGGCTGAGCCGTAACCTCAGAGGCTGGCTGACTGCAGGCCGTACCCGAGATGCCACTGTGTCTGACCATCAGTTACTGCAGAACTGCCTTACTTCTCTCTCACTCTGTGTTATCTTTTCCTTTTCTGCTTGTCTCTTTCCTTATTCATCTCTTTGCTTCTGTGTTTGTTTGTTTGTACCCGGCAACCCTCTGACAGGGTTTCACTGTGCTTTCAGACTGGCCTTGAACTCACGTTGTAGCCCAGGGTGGCCTCAAACTTGCAGCAGTCCTCCTGCCTCAGCCTCTTGTGCTGGGATTACAGGTGTGCACCACCACCTCTCCTTCTGAATTGATCTTGTATATCCACCAGTGACAGCCATGAGCTTTATTTCACCTAAACAGTGACATTCAAGCATAAAAAGTTGTCTAAAAGATGGGCATCAAAAAAAAAAAATGGGCACCATGGGGGATGCCTATAATCCCCGCACTTTGGGAGACTGAGGCAGGAAGATCACAACAAGTTCAAGCCCAGCAAGAGCAATTTAGTGACTTAGAGAGTTGCGTTCTCAAAATGAAAAATAAAAATGTCCAAAAAAAATTTAAAGATTAAGTGTGGCTGCTAGATTGAAAGAAAGAAAGAAAGAAAGAAAGAAAGAAAGAAAGAAAGAAAGAAAGAAAGAAAAAGAAAAAGAAAGAGAAAGAAAGGGAGAGAAAGAGGAAGGAAGGAAGGAAGGAAGGAAGCCTGGAGATATAGCACAGTGTGAAGGCCGTGTGTTCAATACCCAGAACTCGAGATTGTGTGTGTGTGTGTATATGTATGTGTACGCGCGCACGCATGCACATCTAATTCACAGAACTGACAGTGTGTTTCAGAGCGCTCAGGTCCATGCTATTTGCTGTTCCCCAAGGAGCACAAGAGGCCCTTTATTTTGGTGAAAATTTTACTCAAAGTTAGCTTTGAGGGAGATACCTCATCTCGCAGTGGGAGGGGAATATGGTAAGATAATAGCTGAGGAAATGCCCTGCTTTCATCCCCAGCCATTCTCAGCTTTGGAGCTGACCCCCTGCTGCCAGCATGTGCATATTTCCTTTCAGGAGGGTATTTTCCTGTCCATGTACCTGAGCTAACGAAGGGGTGTCAGTTTATGCTCTCATAATGAGGATGTTGGGGAAGCAGCCTGTCTCTAAAGGGAAAACTGAAAAAAATCTTACCTGGGTACAGTGGTAAAGGCTTATAATTTCACCACTGTGGGAGGCTGAGGCAGGAGGATCACAGTTTTGAGCTCAGCCTGGGCAGCAGTGGGACTTAGCAGGATGGTCTCAAAACAGGAAACAAAGTACGAGGAATAGCACTCACTATAAAGGCCCTGAATTCAATATCCACCACTGGAAAAAATTCTTAATTTTTAAAGATTTGTTTTGCGCTGTCAGTTAGAAAAGCTCTGCATATTGGGAGCACCAGAAGGAAGCAAAATATCTCTAGTTATTTGTGGTAAACATTTCCTCTTACAAGGAGTCAAGAAATGTGACGATTTTTGTAGGAAAAGCTCACATTTATGAATTATAGTTCAGGAGAAGCTCTGGTATGTGTTTGACCCCAAATCTTTTTTGATTTGGTTTAGTTTTGGGTTTTTTGTTTTGTTTTGTTTTGTCTTCTTCATATAGGCTCTCGCTCTGTAGTTCAGGCTGGCCTTGAACTCACTTTGTAGCCCGTGGAACTCAGTGATCCTCCTGCTCAGCCTGCCGAGTGCTGGGATTACGGGCGTGTGCCACCACATCTGGCTTGGTTTTGGTTTTTTGAGACAGGCACTCTCTATGCAGTTCAAGCTGACCTTGAGCTCATGGTGTAGCCCAGGCTGGCCTCAGTCTCATGGCACTCCTCCTGCCTCTGCCTCTCGAGGGCTGGACTTATGAGCGTGAGCCACCAAGCCAGGCAGATCCCGGAAGTTTTGAGTGTGTATGTTTCCTGTGTAAAACATCAGCTGGGGTCTTTGCTGTGAGCTAAATCTTTTAAACCTTGTTATTTGATGGAAAGGAAGAACAAAGTCCGTACATCACGTTTACTCCTCTCCTGCAGGTATAGACGGGTTGGGAGATGAGTGACTCAGATGATGACACCCCCCGACTTTCTGCCTACACCTTAGCAGCTCTCCAGGAATTCTTTGCTGAGCAGAAGCAACACACAGAGCCAAGTGGGGATAGCAAATATAATGTTGGAATAATAGAAGAAAACTGGGTAAGTAAATGTGTTCCCTGTCTATCAGGAAGTAGTGGAAAATCTGCTTCTTTGCCAGGTCCTGTGTTGGTCTGTGGCCTCCCCTGACCGCAGAGTGTTTGGCACGTGTCATTGGGAGCTGGTAACTCCCTGAGGACAAGGACAGAAGTTCCTTTATTTATATATTTTAACCTCTACCTTGGCACTTCTGTAGATAATACATATCAGAAGACTGACCTACTGTATTATTCTTGAGGTGGTCCTTTTTCCTTCTGCAATTACTTTTAGTACTGTGTACCCTTTTCTGACTCAGTACTAGTGTAGGTGCAGAAGACAGGAGGGAAAGTGAGAAGGAAGAAATAAAAGGAAGAACAGAACAGCAGTGATAAAAAAAGGAGAAACCATGTTCACCACTCATATAAAAACAAGATAAAACAATGAAGAAAACATAAAGCAAGAAAGGAGAGGGGAAAAAGTTCACTTCAAGGTTTGTCTCTGCTGTCACTGGTAGACAGCGTGTGGAGACGGAGTCCAGATCCACGCTGATTTGTCCCAGCAAGCCCGCAGTAGCTTTATGGCGGGGTAGTGGGTCATCTCAGGGAGCCTGCACCTTTATTTCCGCTGAAGTTCAGGCTGGTTTCTGGCCACGAGGCTGAGACTAGACCCATTCAGCCTGCAGCCCGCAGCACAGCTTCTGCGGCCTTCAACTCAGCAGGAAGCCACTAGATGGAGCCAGCAGCTGTTCTGAGCGCTGACCTCAGTTGGCCCCCTTCAGGTTTGCCCCTGGCCAGTTGCCCTCTCCTTCAAGATGCCCAAATCCATACCACTCAGCAGCCAGGCAGCCCGTGGCATCCACCCGTCCATTGCACTGCTGCGTCTCTCTGTGGAGGCCTCTGGGGTTGCCAGCAGTGACCAAGTATCTGCACGTTTGAACTGCTCCTCCCATGCAGTGAGTCCCGCTACTCGGGCAGGAGATGCCAGCCGCCACCTCCGTCATCTTCGTTGAAGTCTCTCTCGCTCTCCCAGTGGGCTTCAGTTCTCACTTCAGATCCTTCCTGGGTCCAGGGGACCCGCTTCCTACCTCCTCTTCCCCACATTGCTATGTTCCCGCGTCTGGACAGCAGACCTCAGAGAGGCTTTCTCTGCTGCTCGCCACTCTGCCATCTTCTCGGAAGTCTCTACTTATTGTAGAACGTGCATAAGAGCATGAAGAAAATAACAGTTAGTCCTGATCCCACTAGCACAGGTAGCACAGTGGGAGCAGGGAGACTACTTGCCTCCACCCACTTCAGTTTGGCAACACCCCAGGGTCAGTCCTCCTTCTGTTGTTCTAAGATAGAAAACAGATTAACGAGGACCCAAGAAATCTCTGAGGCTCCAGGCCAGAGCACTTGTGTGTTAGATATTCGGGACTGATCTTCAGTAACTTTTTCCCCGCTCAAACCTTATTAAAGGTTCATAAATACGAACATGTGTGGGTCTCATACATGTCATTTAATCAGAGTGAACTTGGACATGCATGCTCATTGCAAGCTGTTGAGATGACTCAGCACTGTGAGTCCTTCCTGTCACTCTTACCTAGATACCGGGGTAAGCTGGGGTACACTTCCTTTAAGATCCAAAGGCTGATTGGCTTGTGTTCTGTGCTGTGCTTCTTACTTCCCTGTTGTGCCAGCACCACTTTTCATGCTAGTCTTCTGTCAGCGTCGAACTTCCCTGAGCACATCTTCTGGTGATCTTCAATAAATGCAGCTGCTTTTCTTTTACCGTTGGATGTATATTTACAGTTCTTTGCTTATTGTATGTAAGAACCTAGAATCTGTCTTCTAGATCTTACTTTTCTAATTTTGACACTTTCACTTAGTATAGTTTATTGATAAAATTGAGGAACTCTCCCAGGAAATAGAAGTACAGTAAAGAAAGTATTAGAAAGCTAAAGGATAAATTCAAGAGTTATTATTCAACTAAAAGGAGTTCAAGAAAAATAGAACAAAAAACAAAGAGGGAAGAAAATCTTCAAATAATGTCAGAAAGTTTCTGTATCTGATGATTCTTAGTAAGATACATGATTGTGATGATTATGAAAATTCTGGTTATGATGGTAAGATCCTAGAACTTTTCAGGGGAAAAGCAGGTCCCCTATAAAATGTCAGGACAAGGGTCACATTGCACTTATCAATAGCTTTATAAAAACTAGAAATCTAAGAATGCCTTTAGCATTTATAGCCAAACATATTCAACCTAGAGTTCCATACTCAGCTAAACTATCACTCAGGTGTGAGGACAAAAAAATTTTAGATATGGCAGACCTCATAATTACCTCCCGTACATTTCTCAGGAGTTGGAGGAGAATTTGTTCCAACAAGTAAGAAGTTATATCAGTCAGTGCTTACTAGAGAAACAGGTCTATGCAGCATTTACAAGTATATAAGAATTTATAAGATTGGCTTACAGTGGCTGCCCGCAGAGTCAGGTGTGGAAGAGCGTAAAAGGGCCATCTACACACCGGAGACCCAAAGGATCCAGTTGAAGGCCAGTAGCTCAGTGTAGTGCCCCATATGACAGGAGGTGGAAGGATGGCCAGCTGTGGTCGGTTGAAGGGTCTGTGCCTGAAGGCTGAAGAGTCTGCGCTAGAAGCCAGGAGGCAACGTCCAAGGTGAAGGTGAAGACTGGAGCTCCTCCGAGGAAACAGAAGCAAGCTCTCCTTCTTTGCTTCCCTTTATGCCATTCTGGTGATGATCCTCCCTAGGGTGGATTTTCCACACCTAGAACTGCACTGAGCCAATTTAGTTGGGCATTTCTTACTCAAGTTGATACAATCAGTTAATTATCACATAAACCAAAAAAGGGAGGCATGAGCTCCAGAGAATAGGAGGTCTGACACAGGGAGGAGAGGGAATTCCCAGGATGACAGTTGCACAACAAGTCCTGGTGCAGTAGCCGTGCTGCACACCTGAGATCGTGTGCTCCAGTTCATCATAGGAGGACATCACGTTCCAGGATAGAACTCTTTTCTAGGGGGAAAGGTTAAAGTGACAGAATGCCTGATGGGAGAAAGGGTGTTTTGGTTACTTTTTTCTCACTGCTGGGACAAAATATCTGACGCCCAAAATTAAGGAAGGAAAGGTTTATTTCGCTTACAGTTTGTGGAAGTTTCAGTCCGTACTTGGCAGATTATAAGGCAGAGTGGCACATGGTAAAGAGCTACGGCTCAGGGTGGCAGAACGCAGCTAAGCAACAACCACACACCAGGGCGGAATGGGGGAGGAATGGCCTCAAGCACTCTTTTCCTCTCCCTTACATATGCAAACTATCCACCCCAGGGTGGGTGTAGCTCTCACATCCATCAAACTCTTAAAGCCTGCCCCATGCCCGCATGAGGCTTTGGGGGGACACACAGACATAAACCATAACAAAGGGTTACATACAGAGCCCATGCAAATGAAGTGATGCATTTATTAACTGTAGAAGAAACAAAGTATCATAGTGGAAGGTATGCACAGAACACTACCTGATGATTGGTTCCAATTCAGCAAAACTGGGTTACAACTATATTCAGAGTGGAAAGGGGAAACCTATGTATGAGAACAAAATCTTACCTTCATAATAAATACATAACATAAAGCAGATTAATCATTAGATAGAATTTAACACAATATTTAAAGGGCGTAAGCAATCAAAGGAAGAGCCAAGGGTTGAAAGTAGCTCCCGAGCCAGGCATGAGATCCCAGTACTCCAGAGGCTGAGGCAGGAGGATCTCTGTGAATTCAAGGCCAGCCTGGGCTACAAAGTGAGGTCGAGGCCAGCCTGAAGTGCATAGTGAAACTCTGTCTCAAAAAGACAAAAAAAAAAGAAAGTAGCTCCCGAGGACTTGGGCCCAGGGATGGGGGACATGAGACAGGAGCCTTCATTTTCTAAGCTTCATAGTTCTTTTGACTTTTACAGTTTTGTTCATGTAGCTCCTTGATAAGAGCTTGAATTTTTGTTTTGTGGAGTGCTGTGAGGTGAGCCTGTTACATCACTGTCCCCGGGCAGTGCTGGGTGAGGGGAAGGGTAATTTAGCATATAACTGGTACTGCTTGCAAAGCCTGCAAGGTGATGTGGTCTGCTGCCTCCGGAGGCCTGTGAAGCTGAGGCTCCTACAGCCTGCGTATGCCAGGGGCTTTCCTCCAGCGGTCCTTCCTAAGTACAGAGGGCAGGCTCTGAACTCAGCCTGTTTCCTGTTGCTAAGAATGGATAGACATAGATGTACAGACAGGCATGACTTCATACATGTATGCTAATGTATGTGTACCTTATTTGGAATCACTTTAAAACTTGTTTTTATAAGTATTCCATAAATACTATGCGCATATTCAGATGGGAAGTAATGTGGAGCAGTCATGTTTTCCATTGTGGTCAGCAACTATTATTTAAAGATTTGTTTACATTTTCATTTGCTAGTTTGAATAGCACCTCATCCTAATTGCAGTAATTTTGAGTTATTATCTAGGTTTTGGGTTCTTTTTTGGTACCAGGAATTGAGCTCAAGACCTTGCGCTTGGCAGGCAGGCGCTAATGCCATTGAGCTATATCCCTGGCCCGAGTGTTACCTAGTTTTGAATCACTTGGAACTATTACGTATATGTAAGAGCTTCCAGATACACATTTTAAAAGGTGAAGGATACTGCAGCAATGAACAAAGCAAACTTTTCTCAGAGAAGTGATGACTTGCGGTGTGTGCTATGGAAAGGAAATGCAAGACAATGCATGAGACAGGAGCTAGCAGGGAGAGTCCAGGAGAGCCACCCGGTGACAGGTGGGAATCGGGCTGCAGTGTCCTAGATTTTGAAAAAACTTCAACCTGCATTAACCACACACAAAATTAAAGTCTACACGGATGAAGGAGTTAAGCATTAAAATAATAAAAGTGTTAAAAAGATACAATACTTCTTGATCTAAAGGAAACTGATCAAAGGTACTGAAGGTACCTTACACAAGATTGAGAAAGACAAAGAGCTAATATCAATATTGCACAGGAGGACAAAAAACTAACAGTCAGATGTCCCTGCCCACCAGCCCAACATACCAGGACGCACACGGCAGGCTCATGGCACAGGTCTATTACTTGTTGCAACAAGAGACTGCACCAGGGGCAGCCGCGGTCATTTCAGCAGAGGGGCTTACGAGAAGATTGTTTTGAGATGCAGGCTTGTGCTCAGTGCCAGGGAGTCAGTCAGAAAGCAAGCAGTGCTGGCACTGGGTGTCTTGACTGTCGTCTGGGAGGTGGAGGAGTCTGATGAAGCTGAAGCTGTAATTTGCGGGCTCTTGTGTGAGCTGCTGGGGGGGTGCTTGGTCAACCGCTTGGTCAGCTCCTCGGTGGTGCGAGCAGCCACTGAGGCTCGGTGCCTAGGTTTCGTTAATTCACTAGGGCTGTATTACTTTAATTTCATACAGGAGAAATTTTCAAAAGAAAAAAAGCATGCACACACTGGTACATAGGTATGAGAACTGGAAGGAGCAGAGTTTGTATCAGTTCTCAGTGTCACCCCGTCTCTGTTACAGCAGCTGAGCCAGTTTTGGTACAGTCGGGAAACAGCCCTGCGACTTGCACAGGAAGCACTCAGCGCGGCAGGGGCCAGTGGCAGGTGAGGATCAGATTTTGTTTCTCTTCTTGTCTCCTCTCCCCGCCCCTTTTTGTCTTCTAACTGAGTAGATCTGAGGGAGCCACATCTCATACCTGGTCTGAAAACCCAGGCATTGTATGTATGTGGATCTATAGTGTGTCGCTGGGCATGGTGGTACAACACAATCCCAGCCCTGGGAGGCTGAGGCAGGAGGATTGCTACAAGTTGGAAGCCCATCAAGGCTACATAGTGAGTTCAGGGGCAGCCTGAATTATACAGCGAGACCTTGTCTCAACATAACCAAAAAAACAAAAATAAATAAATAAATAAAATTTTGTGTCTTAGCTACTCTCTCGTTGTGAGAATAAAATGCCCGACACCCCCAGGTTAAAGGTGGAGAGGTTTAGTTTAGCTTAGTCGTAGAGGTTTCACTCCATAGTCTGCTGGCCCCAAGGCAAGGTAGCATGGCAGAGAAGAAACAGTTCATGGGGTGGCAGGTAGGAAGCAGCAAGACTTCCTTCTTCTTTCCCTTTTTATGCCATTCCAGCTACCAGTGTATTGGTTGGTGCCACCCACACCCAGGGTGGGTCTTCCCTGTTCAGTAAATCCATCACTCACACCCAGAATGATGCTAAACCAATCAGCAGACAAATCCAGTACCAAATCTAGTACCGTACACCCATGATCCAGTCACTCCCAAAAGCCCCACCTTTGAGTGCATGAGGTTTTAGGGGGACAGCTAGATATAACATATAGTGAACATTCTTCCCGGATAAGAGATGGTTTCAAGGAGTCAGAACTACAGTATATAAAACCATAGGTCATGGTTTGCAGCAGTAAGAATTGCTTGAGCAGTAAGTTTAGGGACATACTCATATCTAATCATTGTGGCATTTCTTTTTTTTTTTTTTTTGTCTTTTTGTGACAGGGTCTCAGTATGCAGTTCAGGCTGGCCTTGAGCTTACTCTGTAGCCCAGACTGGTCTTGAACTCGAAACGATCCTCCCGCCTCAGCCTCCTGAGTGCTGGAATTACAGGTGTGTGCCACCATGCCTGGCTATGTGGCATTTCTTACCTGTGTTCTTTAACACTTTCTAAGCTGTTTCTTACCTTTATACTTCTAGAATTTGCTTTAAAGGAGAAAATCTTGGAAAGTGGCATGTCGGAGCACTTACTTAGCATGTTCAAGGTACTGGTTTCAGTCCCAATCTCCAGGACCACAAAAAAAAGTTAGATCTTTTTGAAGTTTTATGGATATACGTTTTGTATTTTGTGAATTTCTTTTTCTTTTTGCCAGAAAACATCCATTAATAATACCCCTCCCCAGCCGGGCATGGTGGTGCATGCCTGTAATCCCAGCACTCGGGAGGCTGAGGCAGGAGGATCTTTGTGAGTTCAAGACCAGCCTGGCTGCAAAGTGAGCTCAAGGCCAGCCTGACCTGCACAGCGAGACCCTGTCTCAAAAAGACAAAACAAACAAACAAAAATTTAATAATATCCCGTATGCCAGCCCCATACTTTTGGCTCCTTTTCACTTGATTCTTTCAGTGTTCATAGTTTCTAAATAATATGTTTATATTGCCACTTCTCGATTTGTCATTTTTATTTATTTATTTTTTGATTTGTCATTTTTAGACATTGCAGTGCTCCGCCCTTATCCATGGGAATTCACTCCACAGTCCCCAGTAGACACTGGAAACTGCAGATAGTACTGATCCCCCCTGTGTATACTATGTTTTTCCATTCGTACATACCTATGGTAAAGTTTAACTTAACTATATATTAGGCACAGTAAGAGATTAGTAATAATATCTGATAATGAAATAGACCAATTATAATAATGCACTATAGTAGAAGTTATTTAAAACTTATGAATTATTTCTGGAATTTTCTATGTAATATTTTAAGACTCTTGTTGATTGTAGGTAAGGAACTGTATCAAGTAAAACCAGTCATGGGAGATCGGGCAGAGCATCATGGTGGAAGGGCATGGGGGTTAGTTCATGGTATCTGGGAAGCAGAGCAGGAGCAGCACCAGAGAGGAAGGCCCAGGGAGCAGGTGTGGTACCCAGGGCCACACTGCTGTGAAACACCCAGGCACACCAGAGTGTACTGCAGGCAGCTCGCGAGCCAATCCAGGTGACAGTCTTAGCTGTCACACGAAGCAGTGCTCACCACTGAGCTCTGCCTCGTCCCCTTTCTACTTTTCTCATGTATCACATTGTCAGCTGTGTCTGGCATCTCCCTCCCCAGCATCCCCAAACCAGAGAACATTCCTCCCATCTCCTGCCGGTTATGGTGGTGCAAACGCCCTGCAGCATGGGGTGCAAAAGGAAATCCTGGGAACAAACCGCTTCTTAAATAGCTGTCTCAGCAAACTGCCTCCCCCTCCCCAGTCTTGATTTTCTTTGGTCTGCAGCATCCTGAGCTCTTGGGGGAGGCTGTGATACGAGCCAGGAAGCTGCTCAGAAGTCCTCACCGCCAGCATTAGATCTGGCTTTCTCGAGTCCACTGAGTCAGTTGCCACCTACCCATTTGCCTTTCAGCTTCCTGGTTTCTTTGTACTGTGTGTACTCTCGCCTTATTCCTTCTCCTCTCAGAGTTTATGCACAAACAGTAAAAATAAACAAAATTTTACACACGTTTTACTTAGTGAACTTTCATGTGGAAGCAAATTTAATAAATGTGTTCAACCTGCCGTCTTGAACAGGAGACCTTAAATGTTCCCTTTTTTTCTTCTGTTCTGTTGCTGCTTATTAGGTTTTTCTTAGTGTGTTAGTCAGCTTTCTGTTACTGTAACAATACACTTCAATTCCACTTCAGTTTACTTCTAGCTTTTTCAGCAGCTGAGTTTAAAGGTTAGCTCCTAGATACCAGCCATTCATAAGCTGTGACCTGCCTGTAATAAGGTAGGTTATTTGGGTTGCAGGTGTAGCTCACTGACAGTGCTTACTTAATACACCCAAGATCCTGGGTTCAATCCCCATTACCCCCAGTAAAAAATAGATTCCTTCATTTCCTTACACAAAAATGATGCACACATTCAAAGTAGCTTTTCTATACAGAGATCTCATTTAATATATATTTTTGGAAAACGAATTATTTAGGGAATTATTTGGGTTTTCCTTTTCTTTCAAGATAATAAATATTACAAAATGACTTCAGAATATTTAGTTTGGACTAAAAGTATTTGAAATAAATATGGAAGACTCAACATGAAAATAATAGGTGAATTAGGCTTTGAGTTAACTACATAGAACTCTAATGTGTTCCTCAGGTTTTTCACATTTTTTCCTGTGAAAAGCATATTATTTCATACCTCAAAATTACTACATGCAGGTTTTTAAATACCAAATTTCTTAAAAGTAAGACTGTATAAAGCTTTTTCCTCAAATTTACTAATCAATGTTTCCTCTAAGAAAATGCAAACACAAGGGCAGGGGATAGGGGCTGGGGATTTAGCTCAGCGGCACAGCGCCTGCCTGGCAAGCACGAGGTCATGAGTTCGATTTCCGGTACCAAAAAAATAAATAAATAAATAAAACTGTGGCAAAATAGAAAAAAAAATACAAACACATTTGAGGCATTAAGTTTATGGGGCTGGGGATTTAGCTCAGCGGCACAGCGCCTGCCTGGCAAGCGCAGGGTCGTGAGTTTGATTCCCGGTACCAGAAAAAAAAAACAAAAAACAAAACAAGGGCAAGGGATATAGCTCAGTGGCACAAGTGCGTGCCTGGCAAGCACAGAGTCCTGAGTTCAAGTCCCAGTACCCCCCCAAAAAAATGCGAACACAGGGCCTCTTATATTTTGTTGAAGTCCTGACATTGCCCTGTTGCTGACCTGTCCCGTGTGTCCGTTCGTGTTGTAGAATAGCGTGTGTGAGCGCGCCCAGCGTCTACCAGGCCCTCAGAGAGCTGCGCAGAGACGACATCTCCGTCTCCATCTTTGAATATGACAGAAGATTCGCTGTGTACGGGGAGGAATTTGTCTTCTATGATTACAACCGTCCACTGGATTTACCTGAGAGCATCACGGCGCAGAGTTTTGACATCGTAATAGCAGACCCTCCGTATCTTTCCGAGGAATGTCTGGGAAAGACTTCAGAAACCATCAAGTACCTGACCCGGGGCAAGATTCTTTTGTGCACAGGTAGGTGCCACATTTCTCATCTCGCACAGCTCATGTTTATGGCTGTGGTGTCAGGAGCTGGACGAGATCGCAGAATCCACCCCACCTGTGTGGCCCTTTGCACGTTACCTCGTCTCTCTGGGGCCTTTGAGGGTCGTAGTGTTACTGCGGCGTGAGCAGGTGTAGTCTAGGCTCTTGCCAGGGGCCGCCTCCGGAACCTGCAGGTGTGACTGACGGCGGGATTGACAGGGTGCCGAGTCGTCCCCGAGGCTCTCGGCACGCACCGTACCCCAGAATTCACTCTGACCTTAGTTAATGTAGGACATGTACATGTGCATGAACCTGTTTATGCCAGAGATTTCAAATTTTTGAATTTTTGCGTGAAATGTATATATGTTACCTAGAAAAATTCCAGGAACAAGAACTTAAAGAGAAAAAATTTTATTATGTTCCACTGTTGTGGGTTCCAGAATGGAGCCGTAGTTACCAAAGGGTCAGTGAGGAGGGCGTGGGGTGAAGTGGGCCTAAGCCGGCCCTGAGGTCTAACGCGCATGCACACTCACCTAGTGCAGAGAGATTTGCTGGGTTTTTATTTTATTTTCTACCTGTCTAACAGTGGAAGAAGAAATGGCTGTAGCTTGCTGTTCGGAAATAATGATGGGAGGGAGTGACTTCCTCAGCTCCGTTTCTAACTGCACTAGCAGAGAATCCAGGGACGTAATCCACTCAGTGCTTCCCACAGGGTGTGGCACGTGGGTGTCAGCTGTGATTTTTATTTCAGCAGCAGCATCAGTAGCAGTAGTATCTGATTCCAGCTGCGTAAGTGTAAAAGAGAAATGAACCTGTCTGATCACGGTAAATTTCCTAAGGTTTCAGAGCTGCCTTGGGTTCATTGGAGTAGAATAATTTTCTTATTGGTACAACAGATACACTTTGTTAAGGTAGATGTAGTAAAGTTTAAGAACTAGAAATGCTATTCTTTGTTCATACAAATGTGACCTTTTGAGGTTTGTTCATTCAGCTACTACCTGCTAGCCCCCAGCAATGGTCAGGTGCTCCAACCTTTTAGTTTTAGAGGATGTTTTTTAAAAAATGACAAAATAGACTAAAGAATTAACTCGTTAATTGTAGTAAGTGTCGTGGAAGAGAGGTCGTGCTCGTTTGGAGAATCACCCATGCTCCAGGGGAGGGCCTGGGCTCAGGGAGATCCCTGGGGTGCTGGGGTCCCGCAGTGATGGTAGTCTGGGCAAGATAAAATCAGGAGGGCTGAGGGAGGAGGAAGGCAAGCTCAAAGCCAGCCTGGCCTACCTACAGACCCTTTCTCAGAAAACAAAACTACGAAAGATGAGCTCACTGTTCTGAAAGTGGAAGGGAAGAAACTGCAGGAGCCGGGGCGCCCGGGTTCCCGCCTGTGCTTCCCGCAGCGTGGCTGTCGGAGCCGGCGGTCAGGCTGCCTGAGGCGCGTGGGCCGGGAGGGCCGCTGGGAGGGTGGACGTGCAGCAGTGCTCGTGGGTTCGGCCGTCCACTTAGCAAGGGCGGGCAGTACCGGAAGGGGTTCTTGGCTCACCTTGGGGAACCCTGGTTTTTAGTAATTACTTGTACGTTCCTATGTTCCCGTGGAATATAATCTACTTCTAAATAGCTAAGTGTCCTAGCTTTGGAAAATTATTTATTAGAAAAAGAAATGCAAGTAAAGGATAGTTATTAGCTAGAAAAGAATTTGAAGAAGTGTGGGGGAGGCAGAAGGGAGCAGAGAGCTCCCGGTGTTTCCCCGAGACCCGCTCGCCCGGGGTGGCCGGCCGGCCTCACCGCCTCCGTCCTCCTCAGGGGCCGTCATGGAGGCGCCGGCGGCGCGGCTCCTGGGCGTGAGGACGTGCGCCTTCATCCCAGAGCACACCCGAAGCCTGGCAAACGAGTTTCGCTGTTACGTGAACTACGATTCTGGGCTGGACCGCGGAACCGAAATCCAGACCGTAGCAGCACAGTACAGGGCCCCGTGACCTTTCCATCACCCTCTTTTTATTTTCTTTTGATTGAAAATTTATAATCTTCCCTCGCATCCTCCTCCAAACCGCGGCCATCTGGCTTCATTTTCAGAATAAAAGGTACAGCTTATTGTGTCTTTGATGCGCTTGAGATTCTTGTGTCAACCCAAACCCAGGGGACTACGGGCCGGAGGGGATCTTAGAACCGACCTGTCCCGCCCTTCTCGTTCAGCACGCGGTGTATGAAAAGCAGAAGGAAAAAACACAGCCTGCCCGGCCTCGGGCCTTGGACAGGACCTTGGCGTCTGCCGTCAGGTTTTTTAAGGTTCCCGTAAAATGGGCTCCTGCAGTGACCTGGGATGCCCTAGCAGGCGGCAGTAGCTCCCGAGGACGTGGGGCCCGAGTCCTGCTCCAGGCCCTCGAGGAGCCCTGCCTAGCCTCTGGAATAGGCTGATAATCCAAGGACGGGTGTCTGAGTGCCACTTGGGGTTCTCCTCCTTCGACTTCCGGAGCGCAGGAACGCGGCCTGGATTCCCTGCGCGCGGCTCAGCGTGGGCATCCGCGCTCGCGCTGCCCGAGGTGCGGTAAGTCACGGATTTCATGTTAAACGTGCGTGTACACAAAAGACAGCACAGCCCATTCTGACAGGCTTCCTCAGGCAGTAGATGCACCCTGAGGAAGGACCGGTCTGAACGCCTGGGCTCACTTTCCTGTCACCTGGGGCCAGACACTGGCCTGGGTGGGTGCTCCACCCACAGGGTTTACTCCTGCCACCCCCGCAGCTCAGCAAGGCGAAGGGGCTCGGGAGGGCGTGGCGTGTGCCTCCTCGCAGCTCCCGCACTTAGCTCCAGGGTTGCAGCCAGGCTGGCGGCGGGCACCTCCGACCCCAGCACTCGGCGGAGCAGGAAGGTCACACGTTCAGGCCTGACTTGGGCAGTTCAGCGAGACCCTGTCTCAAAATAAGGACAGAAACAGACGGGGTGCAGCGCAGGGCAGAGGCCCTGGTCAGTCCCCACTACCGCCGTCCCAAGAAGCAGAGGAGCACGGACTTGTCCACAGCTGTGTTCAGGAGCCCTGTCTGGAAGCAGGCAGTGAGTGCTTGCTGGGTACTGTTAGCTGGCTCTCTGTTGCTACAGCAGAGAGCCTCAGATACTTAACTTCTAAGGGAAAGGGTTATTTTGGCTCCCGGCCCTGAGTGCCAGTCCAGGTCAAGCAGGCCAGGTGGCTACAGCAGGGCACACAGGGCAGAGCAGAACTTTGTACAGCACGAGGCGGGGAGCACACAGGAGGGGCCCGGCCCGCAGCCCTAAGGACACAGCCTTGGTGACCTAACGGCCCCACTCCGCGTGGGCTCCTCCGAGAGGTCCCCGGAGGGCCTTCGGGGGACCCTCAGCATCCACGCGGGGGGCTGTCGGTGTAGCCAGTGGGCGAGCACCTGCCAACGTGATCAGGCCATAGGTTCAAGGTCCAGCGTAGGAATGTGACAAATACAGCAGGTAAGCACCAGCCAGGCAAGTAAACGAAAACCCAAACTAGAGCAGACGGCACTAAATGGATGGCTAGTCCTTTCAGAGGGAGCACAAAGGTTGCCTTTCTAGCTGTTGGAATGGGAAGCTGGTCTCTTCCACTGGAAATGTGCTGCCTGTGACAAGGTGAATTTAGGTAACAAGAGCAAAATAGGGACATTTTCCCCTTGCAAATAAATGCTGTAGTCTCCCTCAGCCCCGCCTCCTGGAACCCGCTGTGTTTGAGGGGCAGCCTGGAAAATGTCACACGTCGCCCACGGCAGCCGTGAAAGGACTGTTCAAAGCACTGGCTCAAGCAGCTTTTCTTTTTAATCTGTGGATTTTTGTTGTTGTTATTAACCTGTTTTCTGGATAGGAATAGATTCTGGATATACCACCACCTGGAATACCCACCCCCCAACCAAAGTCTGGGCGAGAAGAAATAGCACAATCTAAAGTGTCACTTTATGTTTGAAGTTTTTATCTGGTCAATCTGGAGTGTGTGCCACGGTGTTTTTCATGAACAACTCTTGTCAACACTTAGTAGACGGCAGTGCTCTAACTCTGGTGCTGATCAAACTGAGGCGGTCGGTGACTAGGGACACTCACACTGCATTACTACTGCGGCACTACACCGCCACATGACACGACCCCAGAGGAACGCTGCATTATTTCTGTGGTAAATGAAGCTTAGGAGTAAGCACGGACACGTGAAGGACATTTCTTGGTTTGCTTAGTGGTGTCAAAAGGATCAAAAATACTGACTTTACATGATGAGTTAATCTTCACAAAACCAGATCAAATACTGATGAATTTAAATCTCAAACACAAAATTAAGATAAGGATCTCCAAATACTGAAAAATAAACATAGTAAAACTCCTCTGGTGTTCATATCTTGTACTCAGGGAAGAGAAAAAAATATGTGTATGTATACACAGCCTCGCTGGATAACTGTACTACTAATACCTGCTGGTTTATGGAAAGGCTCTGTTCGTGTGTAATTGCTTGATCAATCTTGCATGCCTGTATCTGGTTATCTGTGCAGCCATTTTGAAGATAACATTATGTAACATAACAACCACTGTTGCTATCTTATCACCTTGTTTTGAAATTGTGTATCATTTTTATTGTTCTCTATGCTGTTTTGTTTAAGTATTTGTTTTTGTTATTTTTGTTTTTTTCTTTTCTCTTTAAAGTGAAAAACAAAATTTATATGTATATACAAGGATAGCGGGGATAGGTATATCGCTGATGTTCGTGATTTATTGAAAGGGACAGTGAATGCTTAAAGTTTTCTTTTTTCTTGACCAATTTTGCACGCTTGAATCTGGTAATCAGAATGACTGATCTGAAAACAATATGCAGTATAAGAACCATTGTTGAACTCCTACCATCTTGTATGGTGAAGCTCTGTATCATTTGCAATGTTTTTTTATTACTTATTACTGTCTTTGATTGCTTGGTCAATCTTACCTTCTTACATCTGGTGGACGAGCAACTCTGTTGATACGTATGTAATGTAGCAACAGTGTGTAATGTAGCAACCATTGTTAATTCCTGTCATTTTGTTTTGAGGTCATGTATCGTTTTTGGTTTTTCGTGTGTTGTTTTGATTTTGTCTTCATTGCTGTTTTGTTAGTTTTTTACTCTTTAAAATAAAAAAAAGAATACTCAATTGTATTAGCTATTGTTATTCTTATATTATTTTGTTATGAAACTTTGCTTTACTTTTTTTCCATAAAAAAATCTCGAAATATTGTTTCCTCTAACAATCAATTGGGGGCTGGGGCATAGCTCAGTGGAAGGGTGTGTGCTTAGCACGCACAGGGCCCTGGATTTGATCTCACACCAAAAACAAACAGCCGACAAACAGTAACAACAAAGTCTAAGCTAAATTCAGAGAGAAATAAAATGCACAGAGCCAAAATATCTTTCATCTACAATTCTTTTAATGATGTAAAAATAGCGTCTTTTACAAATACTTATGTTCAGGGACAGACTTTCAACCTAAAGAGGAGAGGATTTAGCACGAAGTGTAGTGTATAGAATGCCTCAGTGCCTCTGGATATGCTGATTTGACCGTGGTCTGATCTGAAGGCCCCTAAAACTACGCCAATACTTGCTTGGATTCCCCGACAGTTGGCCATGATGTTACATTCCACCTCTGGTCCACAGATCGGCCCGAGTGGCTTTCAAAAGTGAAAGCACACACTCACGATTTAAACTGCCTCACATCTGAGATGCTGCAGTCCTCGTGCGTGGGCTCGGTCTCCGGGTTGCCAGGAGCCCCGGACCCTCCTGGCCGCCCGCTGGCTCCTGTGGGCGCGCTCGCGGGCGGAGTCGCGGGCAGCCCGCAGCGACTGACCGCTCGGAGGCCCAGCCCGCAGGGCCCGCTGCGGGGTTCGGCTGCGAGTTCCCGCGGGGCGTCCAGAAAGTACTCGGAGGAACACGGAATGTTTCTAATCGCTGATACATGTAGTACATTTTTTAAAAATATATTTGCTCTAAATTGCTAATATAAAAATAGTTTCTGCCTCTATGCAAAACAGTTGAATTACAACGTAGATAGGAGGGGCTGGGGATGTAGCTCAGCGGCACAGCGCCTGCCTGGCACGCGCAAGGTCGGGAGTTCGAATCCTGGTACCGGAAGAAAACCAAAACCAAAACAAAACACAATGTAGGTAGGGAGTGTCTGCGTTTTTTGCACCAGTTTTACAAAGCAGGAATCTGAAATGCCCGCGCCGCCCGCCGCCCGCCTCCCTCCCCGCGGCCCTCCCGCGAC